ATAAAAATTTTTTTTTTGTAATACGTGACGAAACAACACACTTAAACAACTTATTTTTCACCTTTAAACCTACTGTTTTTTAATGAAATACAGTAAGATACGGAAGTTCAAGAAACTAGATGAGAAATGAATATTTTGAAAGGTCGGAAAGGTGGTTCGGCGATCTAAGCAAATAGTAAGTGAAATTGTAAGACTTCTTACAAATAAAAAAAACAAAACTATTTTGAACGTGTGTCGGTATAATAAGTGTCGATATATAAAGTAGACCGTATGATTAAGCAACTATGAATACATCATAATGCCTAATACTTTAAAGGTAGGATGGCTATGACGATCAATTATGGAAGGTATGCGACAATTTAATAAACTAGACAATTACGGAAATGAGAAACACAGGGTCAATTATTCGTTACAAAAAATGTGATCCACGTCAAACCTGTGAATCCTGGGTCTAACCCTAATTTCAAAATTGCTAATTATTTGAAATCATGTTTTTGGTCAAGATGGTCTTCAATGATCTACTCTTGGTCTCATTTAAAAATTATTTTTAGAAAAGGCTTGTATTTTATATATATTGTTGATAAATTATGTAATATTGCAGAATCAATTCTTTATACTGTAGCCATATTTATACGTAATATGATATATTTTGGAATTGGTAATATCAAATTCTTCGCTCATTCTGACTTTTGATGATCAGTGATTATCAAATCTTCAGGGCGATAAACAATCCAAAAGAAAATCAAAAAAGAAAATCAAAAAATAATGAAACCATTTATGATATATTTATGAAAAACTACTCATTGTTCCGAAAAACTCGTATATTTTTTTACATGTACGAATGTGAAATTTCTCTATAGCTATGCACTTACCTGGATTTATAAAATATTTTGTGTGTCTTTTAGTTTTTACTAGATTTTTTAAGAAACATGTGAATTGATTTAGATACAACATGTCATATTCAATTATTAGTTTGGCGGGTGACAAACACCCATATGTGCAATTTTAGTAGTCACTGTACCGTTAAATCTTTTATTAGATTCAATTTATTCATATCAATTTAGCGATCTATATATTTTCCAAATCGCTCATTCTTTATAAATTAATTGATAAAACCATAATATGAATCTTTCCATTTTGTAACAGAATAAAGAATTTTTTTCAGATTAAAATAGACAGCTGCGAGATGTAAATCTAAAAAGGAAACAGTTAATTATAAGCTTATGTAAGATAAAATCACTTTATGAATTTGCGTCTAACCATTTACTCTCCATTTCAACCGATTGCTTTTTCATCAATGCTAAATCAGGTAAATAATCAATAAATACTTAAAAAACAAACATCCCTTTTCCCTTGGCAGCACTCATATAATAAATCGCGGAAAAATTTTTTTGGTAAGATAGTTAGCCAGATCAACAGGCCGATACATCTTGGTCTTGCACTTGCATAACTAATATAAATACTTGCTTTATGTACCAAAAGATGAGCTTTACGTTTGAATCATGGCAGGTTTTAAAATATTACTTATTGTCAGTATAATTTTATCCATTGTGAATGCGAATAGAATAGTCTTCATTAATCCAAATGTCCCCTGGCAAAAATTTGAAGGATGGGGAACGAGCTTATGCTGGTGGGCAAATGTGCTTGGTGGATTTCCGGAGGTTAGGAACTATTCTGCAGATTTGGTGTTCGACGTGAAAAAGGTATTTATTAATTTGCAATATATAGCTTTTTCCATTCTTTTAAAAAAGAAGATACTTTAGACAAGATGAAAAACCAAAATCTGTTTGGCTGAATAATTGCTATTAGCCCGAATCCTGAGCATTTTCTTTAATGCTGGTTATAACAATACGATATCTAAATGTTTATGCATAGCTTGACGAAATTGACGAAATTTGACGAAATAAGTATTTCGTCAATTTTGTTACTATGAAAATAATTTTGTCACTTATAATTTCATCAATTTCGTCATTGCAAAATAATTTCGTCACTCATTTATATAGCTATTCCTAGTGCCATGATTGGTTGGCAGATTTCAGAATTTCCCTTAAAAATAGAAATTAACAAAAATGTATAGAAATATAGTATTAAATTACACAGGTCAAATGAATAAGGCCGCTTCAGTTGATTATTCGGTTAACATCACCCCCCCAGTTGAAGTCTCCCCCGAAAAATGAACAACCAATTAAACCGCTGGATAACTCTCGCCGATCACCTGATTTATATCGACCAATGAAATTGGCCCATATCTGTTCATTTTTATTTGTTCGTTTCACTTTACCCCTCCCCCCCTCCCGGGAGTCCTAGAAAGTGATATTAACCGAGGAATCAACTTCGAACGGTCTAAGTATTGGGTAAATATAGGAAACAAGAATTCCTGATACCCGAACTACTACTGCAGGTCCGTCAAATATTAACAATTTAGAGCGCTATTTTTTATACACCCACATTTATTGTCATGGCTAGAGGTATGAGCGCAAAGCCGAAATTGGTCGTAATAATTATAATAAATTACGGCAACTCTTGCCGCAGTTCATTATAATTTAGACCAATTACGGTATTGCGCTCACACCTCTAGTCTGGCTGATGCTGATTATCACACGACAATTTCGGAAATCGCAATTTTTAAAAATCCTTCGCATCCGCACGTGATCCACGGGATAGTTTACCCGAATTTCGGTAAATTTCAGCCGGAATTATGGTATTGGCCCGAATTATAAAAAACTCCCGCCCATTATGTAACGAATCACGTGCGGGATCCCATCACAACATGTCGATCAGAAAAATTCAAAACAAAACACCTCTTTTGTCAAAAGGTACTTATTACTCAAAAGTTTGTATAAGAAACAACTTTTCATATAATCGAACCTGTCGTGGTCACGTTTGTGATGGCGTAGTTATTGAACTTATCTTCATTTCAATTAGGTTAGTGCTTACGATATGGTTAGGCGTTAGTAAGTATGTTAGCAAAGTTTCTCAAGGAAAACTTTTTGCTAGAACACTAAAAAGATTGTTTCCTAAGCAATTTCCGACCTGAATTTTCACGTGATCTTCAGCATTAGACATGGCATCTATTATTCGTACCCTCCAACAAAACAGAGTTTTGAGTGAAGATATCTCAACAGCCACCTGATTGAATTCCGATGAATTTTTTATTTTACAGAGTTCCAATCCATTATCCGTTTATTCGGATAATTATTAGATATCCGTTATCCGTTATCCAAAGTATCCGATTTGAATTTATCCAGATATCCATTTACTATTGATATCCGAATAATTATCCAAATATCTGTCAGATTATCCGGATATTTTGATCTGTTTATCCGATCTGGATGATTCGGATAATTCAGATACGGATAAATGGATGACGGATTTATCCGGATTGGAACTCTACTATTTTAATTTTATGAGTTTAGAGGGTCTGAATAAAAAAAATTTCATCGAATTTAATAGGGTGGTTGTCAAATTTTAAAGTAATTTAACATAATTATTTTGATATGCACTTTAAGTTTTTTTTTAAACTTTGAGCAAAGACAACTCGACAACCACTTGACGAAATTCGATGAAATTTTTTTATTTGATCCTCTAGACTCATAGAATTAAAATGTCATCGAATTTGGTCAGGAGATTGTCGAAATCTCGTCGCTCAAAGTTTTTGTTTTTTAGGGGTAATGAAAAATAGACAGAGGATATAAAAATAGTCACATAATTTTATTATAAGTCCCTAGGCAAGACCTTTTTTTTTATCAAATCGCCAAATGTTGTTTGTTATATAAAAAATACGTAATAATTAGTAATCATTATAATCTTTTTATATAACAAAAATCAATACTTGAAGATTTACCAAAAAAGGTTCTGTATAGGAACTTAACAAAACCCCGTTTTAATAACAATATATCTGATTTTTATCTGATACTTATTCATTCAACCTGTGGTATATACTACAGAACTGCGAACTGCTAAAAATTTTTGTCCCTGATTCAGTCCTAAAATTTCAAGAGGATGATATCTGAATTACCAGTGAAACCTTGTATAAAATTCGCTTTGACGAAATATATGGCATTCCTGAAGTTGGCATTCGACTAAAGTTGGAGTTTATGATGCCCGAAGTTGCACCTCGCTGAAATTAGCCCCTGAAGTTAGATCATCCTGTACGCACTAGCTAACTATTTTAGGCAGGTGCCAACTTCAGATACCTGAAGTTCTAACATCAAACATCAGGCACGACATATGTATAGCGATAATAGGTTTTACTAGCTAACAAGTTGTCATAATTATTCATTATTCCTGGGATACGTTTCTGATGTTTGCCTTATCAATTCGGTTACTGTTCTGATAACCGAGAATCAACAATAGGATACACGTCAGCTGCCATTAGAAACTTATCTATTGGGTCATCTAAAAATTTTCCAGTTGTACTCAGAATTTATAAAAAGTTGTAATTGTCACAGAAATAATGAAATATACCAGATCCAGACTAATTTTGGTTTATCATCCATACTTGGGCTCGATCCAATCTTTTCAAAAAATATTCATACAATCAGGTCCATGATCACTATTAATAATTCATATTTTAAATCATCATTTCGGATTGAAAAAAATAGGGATTGGGGTTAAATGTTATTCGATATAATATCGGAGGAGGAGATAATCCACTTCATCATCACATGAGGCTTGGGGATGATGTGCCTGGTTTTAAGCTATGCGAAGCTTGTGATTATGATTGGACCTCTGATGCAAATCAAAGATGGATTTTATATGGTATGAAATTTTTAACGATTTTCACAACACATTTTAATTGCATTAACATACAAAAAACTAATAGCTGCAAAAGAGCGTGGCGCCAATATATTCGAGGCATTTTCAAATAGGTGTGTAAGGCTATATTGTCATTTTTTTTAAAAAAAAATAAAAATAAAAAATCAATAAATAATAATACTAATAATAATAAATAAATAAACTTGCACTAATCCATTGTACTTTTCAGCCCTCCATATTGGATGACCATAAGGTAAGTAACAAAGAAAAAATAAATAAAAATAAAAAGATTAATAAGATCAGTTTAAATCTCTGGATTTTTTATAGCAATTGTTCTTCTGGAGGTTTTAATGGTGCAAATAATCTCAAACCCGAATACTTCGATGCATTTGCCAAGTACCTGACTGATGTTGTTGATTGGTATAGCAAACAAGGAATTACTTTCAGAAGTTTAGAGCCATTTAATGAACCTTTAGGTCATTGGGGTGAAAAAGGTATGTAAATACTTACTTTTTTGTGTAATTTTTGAATCCGAAGTAGCTTAATCAAATAGTAGAACCAACTTCTGCAAATTAATTGCAATTGATTATCATATTTTTAATCAATTTAAATTATTACATGTATTAAAATTAATTGGTTAAAGGTTTTCTTTTAATAATTAGTTAATTATTTAAAGATTAGTTGCTACAAAAGTTTTTATGATTAAATTCATATTATTATTCCTATAAGAATATTTTAAATATATAAATGATTAAATGTTATCTATTTAAACAGGTAGACAAGAAGGATGTGCTTTCAACTGTTCTGAAATGAATACAATTATTAAAAAGGTAATCTTACTAAAATTAAAAAAAAAATAAAGCTACCTATTAAAAATGCTTTTTTCAGATCGGTACTTATCTTAAAGACAATGACCTTTTAAACAAGACATCCATTTCAGCCGTAGATGCATATATATCCAATCAAGAAGTTCTTACCATAGAGTGCTTTGATGATGAAGCTAAATCATATATCAGTCAGTTTAATACTCATGCTTATGGAGGAGATCAAAAATCAGAGCTCTTAAATATTTCAAAACTAGATGATAAGAAACTTTGGATGAGCGAAGTGTAAGGATATTTGTTGCATTAATTATTTTACAAGTATTTTGGAATCATGCTCAGTTTTTTTTTCTGTCGAATGGCGGAATAGTGGATTAACAGTATCAAGAGTACCAAATGATATGTCTACAAGCATTATTCTTTCTGAAAAAATTCTAAACGATATGAGGATTCTAAAGGTAAGAAAGACAACAGATATAGTTAAAGAAATGTTCTATTTATATGATGCACTTTGATAGCATCACTATTTCATTATTCTAGCCAAATGCATGGGTTTATTGGCAAGCAGTTGAAGATTTGGTTAGTTACTTATTTATTTATTTATTTGTTTGTTTGTTTGTTTGTTTGTTTGTTTGTTTGTTTGATTGTTTGATTGTTCTAAATATATCTTAATATCAAACTTTATATTCAATAGCAATATGACCATGACTGGGGTTTAATTGGTACAGATTTTCGTAATTCAACTTCTCAATTCAATATACGTCTAGCATTCTATGGATATGCTCAATACACCAAGTTCATTCGCCCAGGTAGACTTTTTATTTACATATATTTAGACATATATTAGCAAATTTTTAACTGACTTGTTATATTAAAAACTCTTTAGAATATCGAATTATTTATTCCAATGACAATGATACACTTTCTGCATATCATGCTAGCAGCAAGACACTTGTTATAGTTTGCACAAATAAGAATAATGTATCTGAAGTTTGGAGTCTTGATGTCTCTATGTTCAAAGTTGGTAAATTTACCGCTTTCCGTACATCCAGCAACAATGAAACACTCACTGAATTACCAAAACAATGGAACATCACTAATGGCACCCTAACCCATTTAAGTCCAGCCTATTCTATAACCACTTGGGTTTTTTCCTCAACCACTATCAAAAATCACTCTGCAGATGGGCTGGAAACATATTTGTGATTGGTATCAAAGTGTGGTAATTTTACAGAGTATTATTGGTAATTTCATAAATTCTGATATACTATATATTAATATAACATAAAAAAAGTTAATAATTAATATTTATTTAATCAATGCTATTTAAAACTAAGTTTTGGGAATATATATATATTATAATTTTGAGCAATAAAAATAAATTATATTTTTAATTAAATTTTTTTTTAATATTAAGAGAGTATCGTTAATCATCTGATTTCCCATAAATAATATCGCTCACCCCCCTCATACATGATAAATGATAATTGTTTTGTATGGCAGTCAGTCAAATCGTAACAAACAAAATCTTAACAAGGTTAAAATTCTGACAGGTTGACCTTAACTTTTATCAGGATTTTGTCTGGCTTCTCTTTGATCTAATTTTCTGTAAGATTTCCTTTAAACTAATAAATGTCAATATGCTTTTATCCAGTTGACGTCTCTGACATAATAATTTCATCTGCTATTAACTAATATTGAGTCATTAATCGGATGAAACTTCCGGAGCGATATAAGGCCTGATTAAATACTTGTTCTGCTTATTTCACCGACACTCATTTTGTATACACAACACTTCACCGACAATCAATTTACCGGCATGTTCTTTTCATTGACAAGCTTAATTCACTGACACTCCATTTACCGACAAAGTAATTATAAGCTTGTCGGTGAACTAAGCTTGTCAGTGAATTCAGTGTTGATGAATTGAGTGTCGGTGAATTGATTGTCAGTGAATTGATTGTCAGTGAAGTGTGACTGTATTTCTAGATACCCAAAAATAAAGTAAAAAATCATTTAAAAGGTTTAAAATAGTCTTAGAAAAAAACATTACATAAAAAATGTAAAAAAAAATGTTGTAATAAGTAATCGTGCGGGCAACAGCATATAAACATTTACTAATTTTAACCCAAGTTTTATTTACATATATACGGAGCTTAAATCTATTTGTCGACATTAAAATTAATGAATAATACAATAATGATGATATTTGATTGATAATAATATATTAAGAATAATAACAATTTACATTGCAATTTTTTCTTTTAATATTGTAATATTTTCTTAAATGGAACATACACACCTTACAAAACGTTGCTCATCTTGTCGAATTTCGAAATCAAATATTGCGTTTCAAAATCCGAAGAGCTTGAATACATATATAGTTTATATGAAAACTTATGGAGTTGAAGGAGAAAGCAATATGTATATGGCATAAATATGATATACTAAAAAGGATTACTTGTACAAATTCAACCAGTCACGTATTGATCTTGTTTGTCATATCTTGTCAGTACAGTGCATGCAAAACTGAGTGGAATAAATTAGTCACATGTAGTAGTAGCATTAAAAATGTTCAGAAGTATTTAACCGATCATCATTTAGACATTATTTTTTAAAAAACAAATTCTTATTTACGCAATCATTTTATTAATCTTCAAGGGAAGATGGATGCATCAGTCTCTGGAAGGTTGTCACTATATTATGGTTAAAAATTTCCAGACCTAGCATTATATTAATTCAGGTACAACGAAATCCTCAATATCCATTTTGTTACGGAAGCTAAAGAAACTTTATGGGAAAATATTCAGACGTCGCCTTAATTGATTATAATTGGTACACATAAGTCAATTTAACGACCGAACTAGTATAATTCAGAAAACCAAAATATATTATAATGAGGAATCGAGGACTGAAGATAATGAATTCGAATCGGAAAATTTAAAAAAGTACAGAAAGCTCTTCACGAGGTATAAAAATATTGGATCAACATTATATATTCCCGTGTTTAAATAAATATATTCTTGAAAAGTCTAATAAACTTCACAAACAAAAAAATAGTTTCAAAGTATTGGATCGAACTTTAAATCTATTCAATAAAAATGGTAGACGACATTAAAGATTTGAACGAGCAAAACAGCTTCCAAAAACCTGGAATAGACAATAGACAACAAAAATACATTTACTAGTAGCATTAAATGTATTTTGTACATTCGAATTTAATGTAATTTGACTTAGAATTTGTGTTTCAGAATTAACGTGCGGAAAACTAATTTTGACAGAAATAGATAACGTATTTATTTTCAAGTGAGCGATGTATCGACTTTATTTAATTTTCCGATAAAATTGTAATAATGAATTTTGTCGTTGCAAAGTTTATTTATTTCATTAAATGGGAGTCTTTAAACACTCCCATTTCATTTTCCGATTTCAAAATTTTGATATACAAATAAGATTTTTTAAGCTCCTACTTATTTTCGAAATACGCTATTTTTTTTAATTCTGAAACCTCTCAATGTATAACGATTATATTAATGAAAATTATATACACATATTATTAAGAATGGAATTTTTAATTCATATTCGTTGCACTAATATGTGCGTACGTACATACTGTCACAAATTATGATTTGTGACATTAGAGATTCGATTTTTCTTTTACTTTTTCCCAATTTGTAAATAGACCACCTTTTCTTATTTAGTGTAAATAGATTTTAATTCCTATTTTACTTGTACGTACTCATCATCTGACAGATACGTATATTGCGTATAGTTTATAGTAGAATTCAAAAATGGGAATTTTAACAATGAAAATGATTAGTAATCATTATTACAATTTCCATTTACCACCATCAATATAATTGCTCTATTACTGTATTACATAGCACGTATTGATTCTGGAAGCTCTGAACAGTAAATCAATGTGATAGGCTGAAAATTGGTAACTTTCAGTACGCCAATGTGATAACTTGCTAGATAACACGTTAAGGTGCTAGTTATCGCATTAATGTGCTGTATAATAAGCCTAAATGTATATAAGTAGCAACTGAGTTTAATAAAGCGACAGATTCCCTTGATTTGTTGGTAATAAAAAAAATAAAGGAAGTAAACTGTGCAGTGCTGTATAGACCTTTATAATAAAAATCAATCAAAAATCTTCCGATAATAAAATCATCAAAATATAACAGCCAAATAAATCGGAAAATATCCGGACAAATTAAAGATGAATTTATATTATTTTTCGATTATGAAATATTCATAGCTTATTATTGACAAATAATCGAATATTTCGAAATTGTAAAATTTTTGCAAAGTGTATTAGTACGTTAATTTAGTCTATAGATTTCCGACACTGTAACATGTTCAGAAAATTTAAGTACCAAGGATAATGAGCATCTCTACTTATAAACTACAGATGTGTGTTCTTCACGATTATTTTCACTCATTGTTATAATAGGTTCTTGAGACCGTTTTTTACAAATTAATAATCCACCAACAATCAATATTTTAACTAAAATAATTACACCTTCACCAATACCAATTCCAATATATAAATTATTAGTAATTGCCTGCTGACTTTGACTTGCAGTTGGTAATATAGTTGAAGTAGTTGTAGGAGGTATATCTAGATTTGCTGAAGTAACCCAGGTGTAATTTCGTATGTCAAGAATATAAATATTGTTAGTTTTTATTTCTGCTATTGTAGTCGAACCTGAAAATGTCAAAATTAAATAAATTTAATAAATTTAATTGCCACTATAGTACTATGCATCAATAAAGCAATTACCAAATAAGTAGCTGCGCGACACAGTCACGCTAAACCAGGAACGGATTCATATGTTTTGTATATAGAAGGTGAAGGAAAAATTTGTAAAAAATTTATTCATTAATCGCTATGCTAATCTTATATCACCAGGTAATCTACATAAAGCACTTAACCCAAAAGTAAACCGTATATAGCTTCAACACACGCACATATGTATGTACGTACGTACGTATCATAGTAGGCAAGTTCGTACATATTAGTGTTTTTTAATAAGAGTTTGTTTTTGAACTTGGCATAATGAGCACTGGCTTTACCCCTAGACATTTTCCGGTAAATGCATATATACATTAGTTAGAATAATGATTGGTGTACACTTTAATCTGTCATGTCTTTTAGCTAAATATTTTAATAAATATGTAGATTTACGTACGTACGTACGTATCAAGTTGGCGTAATTTCAAATCAAGATATAACCTGTATAACATGCGACTTAGGACTCTAAGCCACATTTTTATCAATACAATATGTAAAACAATAAATACGAGTTAATAACTTGTATTAGGTACGTACGTACGTATGATCTGATGATCGCAATTGCTATGTGATGCATATCGTGAAGTTTAAGAGCAGAAATGCACGTTTTTACCACGTTTAGCACAAGACCAATCAAGTATAAGATTTTGCGGACGCACATCTCTTAACTTACTATAGTAACCATATACTTCGTGATATTACATATCACTCCGTTCCTGGTATGTAATAATCATATAATTTTCATTTAATGCAGCAGAATGATACATAAGTGGTGGAGGTGCATTTGTTCCCAAAACACTTGGAATAGACCATATCCAGGTATTGGTATTTAATACTGCGGTATCTGAAAATACATTATTGACATAGCCAGTACTATTATTCGTATAACCACCATATAGAATAATTTTTCCATCCTGGGCTGTAAAAAAATAAATAATGTTTAGTAAAAAATATAAATCTATAATTTGCATTAATACTATTATGCTCAGCTTACTTAAAACAGTAGAATGTCCCATACGAGATAAAACAACAGAGCCACTAGCAATCTAATAAGGACAAAAAAAATCAACATTAATAATTAGCAATAAAAATAATAAATAATTATATACATTACATTAGTAGACCAGGTGTAGAATTTTGTATCAAATATTCGAATCTACATTTGGTTTTAAGTAGTATTAAATGAAAAGTTTTAAATATTAAAGAAAATTATTATTAATCAGATCATACCTGATTCATATTAGTTAAGCTTGCATAAGTTATATCTAAACCTTCTCTCCCACCAATGTAAACAATAAGACCATTTGGTAATAACGTAGCAGTATAGTCAACATAAGGAAGCGACTGGGGTTGAATTTGAGTTGTCCAAGTCATAGTAGTGATATCAAGTATATTCATATCATTATAC